TCTCCTCAATAATCTCGCCTGCTTTGAGGCGGCGGGCAGTTTCTTCTGCAGCCTTGATAACCTCCTCGTGTCGTGCTTCTCCTCGCGACAGAACGTCCCGGTAGAATCCAATCATGCCGGAGCCGCCACTCTTTTTACGCCGTTCTTCTTCTTCCTTTTCACGGCGTGCTTCCTCTTCCTCTGCTTTCCGCAGTTCAGCTTGCTGCGCCTTGTAGGCAGATGTGACAAACTTCTCCTTGTCAGCAAACTCGTCGCCTTCGGCTTCACGCTCCCTGGCTAGCTGGCGATCCTTGGCACGTAGTTGATCCCGTTTCCGAATCTCCGCAGTCTGTAGCAAGTTCTGCATGTACTTAGGTGTGTCGCTCTTGGTTTCTACTGAGGACTTGGCGGGCTTGGCATGTAGACTGTCGTATACTTCATCGTATGAGTAAATCAATGGGTCGAGCTCTTCGGCTGCCTTTGCATGCATGTTGCTGCTGTGCATTGACGCGAGGTTGGTGTATTTCTGGGCAGGGGCGGTTGGCTTTTTCGGCTTCGCCTGGTTCAATCCAAGATTAATTGCGCCTTGTTGCTCTTTTTCCTTTTCTTCGTCTTCATCCTCATCGTCTGCAAATAGCGAATTCTTGCTGAGCGGTTTGGCTGTTGGTTTGGGACCGCTTCCGAATTGAATTTTGCGTTTTGGGGGCCCTGCGCTTGGTGGGAGCTTCTTTTTCGTGGCTGGCTCCTCTAGCCCTCCAATCGTTGAGATTTCAATTGCGCCATCACCAGTTTTCTGGTCTTCATCTTCGGAGTCGTCGTCAAAAATGTTCTTCCTTTTCTGCCCAAGGGCATTCCCAGGTTTCGTCGCACTTTTGTTTGGAAGGTTCAATCCGTAGGGGAGATTTGCTGGCATATTAAAAATAACCTTTTCCAAGCAGTTCCAGGTTTTCTATACTCGGATTAATAGCAACGATACTAGTGTGTTCGGCAGGAGATGATTGTCGAGGTCAAAAGTTGCGACTGCGATCGACCGCGATAAAGCCTTGGCTGGTTATCAGTCGATCACGTGCTGGTAACATTTGCGGGGAGATCGGAGCATCGAATATTGTATCCATACTAGACACAAAATAATGTCGGTTTTGTAATTAAGAGTTATTCATCAGGTTTTAATGGGATATTATTCTGATTTGATTGTATTGCCAAACTTAGGGGTATCATGAATAGTATTGCTAAATTCAGTTCTATAGATGTGAAATGCAAAGATATATATTAGTTAAAAAGCACGTTTGGACAAGATATCACACCCGATATTCCTTTGAAGACAGCGCAGAAGATCAATTTAAACCAGCCCAAGAAGCTAGAAACTCCAAGCCTCATCTCATTATACAATATCTTTCATCCTTCAACTTGACCATATCAAAAGTGCATACATTCATCTTCACCTGGGCAAGCTCATTGCTTATCAGGCACGTGATGGCGGCCGCTAGTAAAGCCACAATCCCCAGCTCCTCGACCGTCAACGGGTCCATCTCAACCCTTAATAATCCCAAACTACTCAGAATGTCCTACTACTTCACGATTCTGTCGCCCACCGACACGCCTTTGTTCAACATCGCCTTTGGCACATCAAAGGGGGGTGGTGATGGCATTGCCCGCTTCCGCTTCCCGGAGACAGCGCAGTACATGAACCAGTTCATCATCCACTCAAGTCTGGACATATTGGAAGAAGCGCAATGGACAAATAGTGGAATGTGAGTTTAATAAGCTATTCCACATCCCAAATTGCTTCTGCAAACTGGCTAGAATCCCGGAGAGCCATATGCATGCAGAGGAATCTCCCTAAGCCTAATAACCCGCGCTCCATACCCCACATTAAACCTCCAATTCCTAAACTAACATTGTCGCAAAAGGTACCTGAAGCATATCGACACATACCCACCAGCAGCAGCCTACATCACAGCCTTCCTCACCCCAAGTGGCGCACGCTTCCTCCTCCTCCATCAACCCCCGAATCTCCCCTCTTCAACTAGCACAGGCAGCGGCCTTGGTTCCTCCTCACTGCTAGGCACAGCAGGATCTACCACACGCGCTTCATCCAGCTCTATTGCCGCAAACCCGACCTCCCCGCAGACTGAAGAGGCTGTGCGCCAATTCATGAACGAGGTATACGAGAGCTATGTCAAGACAGCGATGAACCCGTTCTATAAGCAGGGAATGGAGATCAAGAGTCCTGTTTTCAGATCGCGGGTAACTGCTGCAGGGAAAAAATGGCTGTAGTCTGGCTGTCTCTTGGTGGTTTTAGTTCATGAGCGTGGCGTTTCTAGGGCATGTACTCTTTGGGGGGATTGGTTCTTTCTCTGTATCTATTGCATTGTGTTTGATTTGCTTTGCATAATAGAGACACATGTTTACAACAATGATGGAGTCGATAATCTACTAGCAGTGTCTAGTGTAATACAAACAAGAGTGTCCTTGTTATTTCTGATTCAAAACAACTGATTGAACTAGAAATGTAAATGACTATTGTTCTGCACCTAAACTGGTTGACAGGAAATGACACTACCTGATGATCAACGAAGTCCTGGCCCGCTAAAACCTAATGAAAGAAAAAGGTTCGAAAAAGAAAAGCAACGAGTATGCGCACTGCAGTATCTCAACAGAAAAGAGGTAGCTCAGTCCCAAACGCCGGGGAATTTCCTTCCAATCCCAGCGTCCAAAGTCAACCCGCTAAAACAAAGAGTACAGAATTAGACGCTCATCTGAGGAGCCAGCTTCTTCATGGTGACGGTTTTGAAATTATCGACAGCGTGAATGACGTCGTCCAGCTTGGCAACAGTTCCAAAGATTCCGCCTTCCATTTTAATTGATTGCATCGTGCCAACATGTAGCGATGGCTCGGCAGCTGCAGTGCCGTCGTCCAAGACGACACAGTCGAAGCCACGGTCGTTGGCTTCGCGCATAGTAGTCGAGACGCAGACGTCGGTAGTCACACCCGCAATGACGAGGTTTTTCACTCCTTTGTTGCGAAGGAGGAGCTCAAAATCGGTGTGTGCAAAGGCACCCCGGCCGGGCTTGTCGATGACTGGCTCACCGGGGAGAGGATACAATTCGTCAATAGTGTCGTGGCCCATTTCGCCACGGATAAGCAGGCGGCCCATGGGACCAGGGGAACCAATGCCCAAGCCGGATGCGTTGTTACGGGACCGATATGCCTCACGACTTGACAGAGTAGATAGATCAGGTCGATGACCTGATATGAGTCAGTAATACATCTTGGAAGCCAGATATGAGTCACTAAGTACCCTCGCGAGTATGATAGACCGGGAAGCCCCCAGAGCGGAAAGCATGAAGCAATCTTTGCAGGCGGGGAATCAAAGCCTGCGTGGCAGAAATATCATAGCCTTGATATCCCATGTATCCTTCGGGAGAGCAGACTAAGGAAAAATCAGCCAAATGATCCTCTGATAGTGGTGATAGTCTGAAATACTTACAATCTTTTTGCATGTCAATGATCACAAGCGCAGTGGTGTATGGGGTGAATGAAGCATCATGGGGCCAATCATACGGGACGGCTGGCAGCTGGCCCTTGCGGACCTTGTGATGAGGCACCTGTCGCGGCTTCTCGACAATGGGACCATGGTTGTGAGTCGAATTAAGCACCGTCAGGGTCCAGATACCTGGAGAACCGGCTGCGACTAGCATGAAAGGACAGTCCATCAAACGGGAGGTTCTGCGGCGCTTGCGCGTTTCCTCAGTTAGACCGTTCCGTGGCCGATAGTGGCCGCCACGATCACAACGCAGCCACACCTTGGCGGTGCGGCCAGGCTTCTTCTCTGTGGGCGTGCTTGAGGACTTAACAACCACATTATAGCCATGCTCTTTGCCATGGTCCTGGACCGCGGCGAGAAGAGTGGCTCTATAGATAAATTGTCAATTTTGGTCGTAATAAGCAAGGGGCGATCCATGGATGGGATAATTTACTTGTCAGGATATGTTCCCTCTGGAGGGGGCACCAATTGCATCGCTAGCTCTGGAATGTCTTGAAGGTCACTGGGCGCATCGTCAAGGTTCAGATCGGTTGAGTCCGCCATGGTGATAGATCGGGTTGGGCCTTGGCCTCACTGGAGGGGACCTATCTGAGGGACGAAAAGTGTAAGTTCAGATGTCATACTTCCATCCCAAGTCTAGCCGATGCGGCTCAACACTGGGATAGGCTGATGGAGCTTGCGAATGATCGGGGGTAAACAAGTGCGTGGAAGCAAACAGGTTGATCAGCGATCTTAAGAACAGCGTGCGTGGTTATAACATTGTAGCTTTTGGAGGCAACAAACACATGATCTTAGAGCCTGGAAGCTCACAGAGGGTTCTAGAGAAAATACTGAGAGATAGACAAAGCTACTTACCTCTCCAACTTGATTGCCCTAGAGACCTAAAGACTGGACACTGGGAACTGCTGAGTCCAGATCACGGGCTGAGGTCGATCAGGATCACTTTCAGCTCCAATGAGGCTTAGCTCCAGGTTGACGCCTTAATATGCCTGGGGCAGGAACTTTCTGCCTTAGCACGTTAAAAGAGCGGTGGGTGGCTGAGACCATATCTGCCAAATTAGGACTAGTGCATTACCCGGCCCCCCCTGACGACCGAAACAACAACATCGGTTTCTCCCAGCCCGATCTAATCTAACCCGCTTTTCGACGCGAGGCGGGTCGAAAGTAACCCAGCTGTGGACATCTTCGCTCGTCGCATCCCTCGATCTACTCTTCTTCTCTCTGTGGAGAAACATATTACAAGTACCGGAATCAATCCCTTGCGTCACCGCCTCGGGAGGGGCTCTTATCAAAACGCACGGTTGTTGACATCGGGCCACCACACAACATATGAGTATTTGAGAGGGGCTGGTGCGATCTGCAGGGCAAGACAGCTTGGTGCACAGTCTCTACTGATCTTCGCCAATTTTGGACGACACCTGTCGTCCAGACATCTTCTTTGCGACCGGTCCTCTGGGTGCCCAACGCGAGAAGATGCCGGCCGTCGATGAATCACCTTCCGAACGGAAGCATACGAGCAGCTCTTACAGAGATGAACTAGCTCATTACAAAGCCCAGTATGAGCAACTTGAAGCGGAACTTGCGGACTTCCAGTCCTCTAGCCGGGAGCTGGAGACTGAAATGGAGAAGGATATTGAGGCTTCGGAAAAGCGGGAACGGCAGCTGAAGGAAAAGCTCGACACGATGCGATATGAAGTCGACGAGTGGAAGGTAAGGGATTATGCCCATTGCTCACGATTATGCGGTCACTAACATTGCGCTGCCAGACCAAATACAAGCAGTCGAAAACCGAAGGCAACGCCGTGCAAAACAACCTACAGAAAGAAATCACCACACTCCGAGACGCGAACCGCACTTTGCAGCTCAAGCTTCGAGACATTGAGGTTGCCAATGATGACTACGAGCGCCAAGCCCGGAACACCACCTCGTCCCTGGAGGACATGGAGTCCAAATATAACATCGGCATTGAGCGCGGGGTCTTGCTAGAGGAGGAAATAAGAAATGGGGAGCAGGAACGGGAGCAGCTGCGCATTGACAACCAACGCCTTCGAGATGAGCTGTCGGATCTGAAGATTGAGGCTGAGATCATCCAAGAGAAGCTTCGCAATACTGAAGGACATGGATTCCGCCGCCGCAAGCCCACTCCCTTGTACCATCGCAGCCCGGCGACCCCGCAGAGTTTGGAGATCTTTGATCGCTCACCTACCGCTACGTCTTCCCCAGTATTTGCTACGCCCCCCGCTAAATCATCCCTTGCGTCGTCGACCGCTACCCCACCTTCACCCCCTATCTCCGAGTCGTCGGTGAACATGCGCAAGTCGATCAACCCCAACGGAAACGCAACGCCTACATTCCCACGACAGAGAGCCGCTGGCGCAGAGCCAGTGAACTCTAGAACCCTTCATGCTCGGACTCAATCGCGCACCGCCCAACCGCGCACCACTCATTCACGAACTCCATCTTTCGCTTACAGCAATGGCGCATATAGCACTGGCACCGGTACCGGCAATGGGAGTGGCAATGGTCGGTCCACTCCTTCCATGTCGATCTCGTCTCGCAACAGTTTGACGAGAATGAGTTCCTCGCGGGCACCGGGTCTTCCCAAGTCTGGATCACTGTTCCAGATCCGTGGCCTGATTGGCAAGATGCAGAAGCTCGAAGAGCGCGTCCAGTCAGCCAAATCGCGACTTCCCGCCCCATCCGACACCTCCTCACGCGGATCCCCTCGTTCGGGCTCCGTGGTCAGCGAAAGCCCAATTGTTCCGTCCTCGATCACCGCTAGAAATTCTCATAAGCGGCTGAGTAACAGTAGCCTTGGGTCCTCAGCGCGAGACAGTGAAAGCACACCATCTTACCCTCCGCAGGGTCGTCAGTCATTTGGACGGACAGGCGAGAGTCGCCCCAGTAGCCGAACCAGTTACTCTAGCCTCAGTTCCTTCAGCCAGAGTGTGCACTCTGGTGTCCCTGTCAATGCCCGACCCGAAAGTCGTTCGAGTCGTCCCGGGGCCAAAACGCCATTGGGTCACTACTCGACAAACCCTCTGATCGAGGGCCGGCGGCCTCGTTCATCCCTCAGCAACCATGCCGGCCAACTCCCCAACATCGCTGGCATGTCTCTCATCGATGAAGACCAAGATATTGTTACGCCGACAACCTCCCGCATCTCCCCAGAGATTCCACGCCCATCCGTGACTACCACCCCCACCCCCGTAGTGAAGAAGCGAACCATCAGTGGCATCCCGGCTCCTCGAAGCTTCAAGACTAGCATCGGACCTGGTACTATGCCACCGCCAAACAGGAAGACCCAAGTCGGTGACCTGGGAGAAACCTTTTAATTGGTATTTTCGCCTTTAGTATTTATGGAATTTACAAGAGGGGGGGGGGGTTGGTTTCAGTGAACGGGTGTTTCGTGTGCTACGGTTATTTTTCGACTTTTGTTTTACAAGGTTTTGTGTGGCCTCCAGTTGATTCTGGGGGCGTTCCTAAGCTGTGTCTCAGCGAATTGTCTTTTCATTCCAATAATACCCATGATGTTACATATTCCAAATTAAATAACATTGTACAATGTACGGAGTAGTAAGTTCAACATATTTTGGCGGTTCCTTGAATAATTGAGATAGGATATGATTGGTCAAGTTCTCATATTTCACTTCCAAGGAACTGGAGATGTTGAATTATGCATGTTGGCCGAATTAGGATAGCGTGCCATTCCCGGCATTGGGGCGTGGAGCATATAGATTAGTTTAGGTCATACCTAGAATCTACCTTGGTACCTAGGTAGATTGCATATTTCAAACAATACGGAGTATGGAAAAAAACTATACCTTAAACCATTCCCTACTCCTAGGTAACATGGACATTTAAATCTTACATACCAAAAGGAGTCAAACCCGAATCTCCAGAAAAAGAACCAAGACGAAAATCGCCGAAAAAAAACACCCCGAAATCCGAATCGGGTACCGAATGGGCCCGAGACCCATGGGGAAATATTAACGGAGTATGTACTCCGTCGGAGTTGAGATCTCCCTAGACTGAAGTAACTAAATGTTGGATCTCAACTTATATTGTTTTTATAGTCAAATATAAAAATCCTCACAAAAATCCCAAAAAAAAAATAACCAAAAAAATAAGAAGCCAACAGATTGTAGTGGAACCCGGCCCAACAAAGCCAGGGAGTTGGGGGAGCTCGTTCCTGGAAAAGTACCTTTCCATAATAATAACTATGGGGAGGTACATGTAACTTCGGCCACTTAGGGGAAATCAATCACGGCCAGTTGGGATGATCTCCACTTCGGTGGGACTGTAGAAAATCATCTTCTCAGCAGTTTTTCTTCACTTTATTGATCTTTCTTGCTCCTTTTCCTATATTCAATTTTTACTTTTGCAATTCTGCTCGGGTCTTGGTGGTCCTCGGTAAGTCTAAAGTTATGATTGTACTTTTTTTTTATACCTTGATGCCGTTTGCGAAATCCTGCAGACCAATTCCGCATTTGACGCTATCGTTCTTCAAGTCTCCAATTACACATGCTGACCTGGCCTTTCTTACTCTCTAGAGCTTATTCCTTACGCTTATCCTTCTCTCGCCTTCTATTCCCCTCTTCTCTTCCTCTTCCTCACTTTTTCTGCCCATATCCACCATTCGGGCTCTTTCCGCCACTTCCATTGTACATTACCCGACTTTTTAATCAGCGCCCGCATACCGCGCGAAAGAACCTCAATTCCTATAAGGGAATCTGACCTGTGCTTATCAACATGGCCATCACAAACGGTAACCCGTCAGCCAACGGTGCGACTGTCACCAAACACGACCTTCCCTCACATTTTATCGGTGGCAATGCCCTCGAATCAGCACCCCCTAGCGCCGTGAAGGATTTTGTCGCTGCTCATGAGGGTCACTCCGTCATCACATCGGTAAGTGAGAAATTGAAAGACTGGCGGAAAACAAAAATACGGGAAATTGAACGTGGGACTGACTTGTTTCAAGGTGCTTATTGCCAACAATGGTATCGCCGCTGTCAAGGAGATTCGCTCAGTGCGGAAATGGGCCTACGAGACGTTCGGAAACGAGCGTGCTATCCAATTCACTGTCATGGCCACACCCGAAGATTTGACCGCCAACGCCGACTATATTCGCATGGCCGACCAATACGTCGAGGTTCCCGGTGGAACCAATAATAATAATTATGCCAACGTCGAGCTGATTGTCGATATTGCGGAGCGAATGGATGTTCACGCCGTGTGGGCTGGATGGGGTCACGCTTCCGAAAACCCTCGGTTACCCGAATCTCTTGCTGCGTCGCCCAAGAAGATTATCTTCATTGGACCCCCAGCTTCCGCTATGCGCTCGCTTGGTGACAAGATTTCCTCTACCATTGTTGCACAGCATGCCGGTGTGCCTTGCATTCCCTGGTCTGGAACCGGCGTTGACGCCGTGAAGCTTGATGAGAACGGTATTGTGACAGTCGAGGACGATGTCTATAAGAAGGGCTGCACCTTTTCCCCCGAAGAGGGTTTGGCCAAGGCTAAGGAAATTGGTTTCCCTGTCATGGTCAAGGCCTCCGAAGGTGGTGGTGGTAAGGGTATCCGAAAGGTTGAGAACGAGGAAGAGTTCCCCGCCTTGTACAATGCCGCTGCCAACGAGATTCCGGGATCGCCCATCTTCATCATGAAGCTGGCTGGTAACGCTCGCCATTTGGAGGTCCAGTTGCTGGCTGATCAGTACGGAAACAACATTTCCCTTTTCGGCCGTGATTGTTCCGTCCAGCGTCGTCACCAGAAGATTATCGAGGAGGCCCCTGTGACTATCGCGAAACCGCACACCTTCCAGGCCATGGAGCGCGCTGCCGTGAGTCTCGGTCGGTTGGTTGGATACGTTTCCGCTGGTACCGTTGAGTACCTGTACTCGCACTCCGACGACAAGTTCTACTTCCTCGAGTTGAACCCTCGTCTGCAGGTCGAGCATCCCACCACTGAGATGGTCTCAGGAGTCAACCTGCCTGCTGCCCAGCTCCAGATTGCTATGGGTATTCCCCTGCACCGCATTCGTGACATTCGTCTTCTTTACGGTGTCGACCCCAACGCCGCCGCCGAAATTGACTTCGATTTCTCCAAGGAAGAGAGCTTCCAGACCCAGCGCCGTCCTCAGCCCAAGGGCCACACCACTGCTTGCCGTATCACCTCCGAAGATCCCGGCGAGGGTTTCAAGCCCTCCAGTGGTACTATGCACGAGCTGAACTTCCGCAGTTCGTCAAACGTCTGGGGTTACTTCTCTGTCGGTACTGCTGGTGGTATCCACAGTTTCTCCGACAGTCAATTCGGTCACATTTTCGCCTACGGTGAGAACCGATCCGCCTCGCGCAAGCACATGGTCGTTGCTTTGAAGGAATTGAGCATTCGTGGTGATTTCCGAACCACTGTCGAATACCTGATCAAGCTTCTCGAAACTCCCGCCTTTGAGGATAACACCATCACCACTGGATGGCTCGACCAGCTTATCACCAACAAGTTGACTGCTGAGCGCCCCGATCAGATCGTTGCCATCATCTGTGGTGCTGTCACCAAGGCCCACCTTGCTAGCGAGGCTGGTATTGATGAGTACCGCGTTGGCCTCGGAAAGGGTCAGGTTCCGTCCAAGGAGATCCTGAGAACTGTTTTCCCTGTCGACTTCATCTATGAAGGCGAGCGTTACAAGTTCACTGCCACTCGTGCCAGCTTGGACAGCTACCACCTCTTCATCAATGGCTCCAAGTGCTCAGTCGGTGTTCGCGCTCTGGCTGATGGTGGTTTGCTGGTTCTGCTCAGCGGCCGCAGTCACAATGTTTACTGGAAGGAGGAGGCTGCTGCCACCCGTCTCAGCGTTGACGGCAAGACCTGCCTGCTGGAGCAGGAGAACGACCCCACTCAGCTGCGTTCCCCCTCCCCCGGTAAGCTTGTCAAGTTCACCGTTGAGAATGGACAGCACATCCGCGCCGGTCAATCTTACGCCGAAGTTGAGGTCATGAAGATGTACATGCCCCTTATCGCAAAGGAGGATGGTATTGTGCAGCTCATTAAGCAGCCCGGTGCCACTCTAGAGGCTGGTGACATCCTCGGTATCCTCGCCCTGGATGATCCCTCCCGTGTCAAGCACGCCCAGCCCTTCACTGGTCAGCTGCCCGAGCTTGGCTCGCCTACCGTTCTCGGTAACAAGCCCTCCCAGCGCTTCTTCTTGCTTCACAGCATTCTAGAGAATATCCTTCGCGGTTTCGACAACCAGGTCATTATGGGCACTACCCTGAAGGATCTCGTTGAGGTGCTGCGCAACCCGGACCTTCCTTACGGAGAGTGGAATGCACAGTCCTCTGCGCTGCACTCTCGTATCCCCCAGAAACTGGATGCCCAGCTCCAGAACGTGGTTGACCGCGCCAAGGCCCGCAAGGCCGAGTTCCCTGCGAAGCAGCTCCAGAAGGCCATCCTTCGCTTCATCGAGGAAAACATTGGCCCTGCCGATGCTGAGATTCTCAAGGCCACCCTGTTGCCCCTCGTTGAGGTCATCAACAAGTACATCGATGGTTTGAAGTCCAACGAGTACAATGTCTTCATTGGCTTGCTCCAGCAGTACTACGATGTTGAGAAGCTGTTCTCTACCCACAACTTGCGCGACGAGGACGTCATTCTCAAGCTCCGTGAGGAGAACAAGGACGATATCACCGGCATTGTCCACACCGTCCTTTCGCACAGCCGCATCGGTTCGAAGAACAACCTCGTTCTGGCCATTTTGGACATGTACCGCCCCAACCAGCCCCTTGTCGAGAATGTTGGCAAGTACTTCAAGCCCATTCTCAAGTTGCTGACTGAGCTCGAGGCTCGCTCTTCCGCGAAGGTTACTCTCAAGGCCCGTGAGGTTCTTATTCAGTGTGCCATGCCATCTCTGGATGAGCGCCTGTCTCAGATGGAGCACATTCTGCGATCTTCCGTTGTCGAGTCTCGCTACGGTGAGACCGGATGGGAGCACCGTGAGCCTTCCTTGACTGTCTTGAAGGAGGTCGTCGATTCGAAGTACACCGTCTTCGATGTCCTTCCTCGCTTCTTCGTCCACGCTGACCCCTGGGTCACCCTTGCCGCTCTGGAAGTTTACGTTCGTCGTGCCTACCGTGCATACACTCTCAAGGGTATCGAATACAGCGCCTCCTCTGAGCAGCCCTTCCTGTCTTGGGACTTCACCCTTGGCAAGCTCGGACAGCGTGAGTTCGGTGTTCTTAATGCCCAGCCCTCCGCCCCGGGCACTCCCGTTGCGGAGATCAACCCATTCAAGCGCATCAACTCCATCGGCGACATGTCCCTCTTCGTGAGCGAC